GTCAGACACAGTTTGTTATGATCCACACAGTCAAATGCCTTTGCATAGTCAATGAAACACAGATAGACATTCCTCTGGTATTCTCTGCTTTCAGCTAAGATCCACCTAACATCAGCTACAATATCCCTAGTACCACGACCCCTTCTAAACACAGCCTGGACTTCTGGTAGTTCTCTGATGTGCTGTTCCAGTCACAATGTAAATATAGGCAATTAAAAATATAACATTAGTGTATGCTCTGGTGGCCAAGTGGCAAGAAGCTGAACTGCAGTCCCAGAGGTACAGGGTTCTAATTCACCAGATGCTCTGCTGGAAAGGGAGGGACAATCTCCTTCTGTACCAGTCAGATCAGATTTGACGGTACACACAAAAAATAATAAAATAAACAAAACAAACAAAAAATTAGAAAGCAAACTAAAAACAGAAATGATCTTAAATTATAATTGTTTACTGTCAGTAGGATTTCTATTTTAAATTTCTTTCTTTCTTGGCTTTGTCCTGTTAAAGCCTAGATCCAATCAATGCTAATACCTTAGTACTCAAGATTATAATCTCAAATTATTTTTCCTTAAAAAATAAACAAAGCGGCGAGCTCTGGTGGCCTAGTGGCAAGAAGTTGCAGTGCAATCTCAGAGGTACACAGTTCAAATCCACCAGATGCTCTGCTGAAGGAGGAACAATCTCCTCCTGTATCAGTCAGCTCTGATTTGACGCTGCACACAAAAAATAATGAAATAAAATAGTTTAAAAAAAAATAAACAAAGCAACAATAACAACAACCAAACCAACTATCATAACACAATAAAAATGCCACCCTGTTTGCCTTGCATCTATTTTTACTCATATTAAATCAAGAATTCAGGATCAGGGGATGTACAAGACAAGCCTGAGAAATACAGGCATGTATAAAAGAAAGGAAGTGATCAAAAGTTATTCAGTTTATATTACAAAGATACAGGAGTTCATGTGAACCCTATGATTGCCCAAAAATTTCAGAGTAACTACTAAAGCATACAAAAAAAAAATTCCAGAAACACACACCAAAAAACCCTCCTTATCTGTCCCTGCAGGTTGCTAAGTCACTAACTCATTATTCTGAAACTGATAAATGGGAAAAATGACAATCATTTACCCTGTGTTTTTCCTGTGTACATTAGCCAATAAAATTTAGTGAGACAGAGGTGATGACTGAACAATACTAAATAGTGAATACACTAAAATCCATGAAGTGTACACCTGAAAATGAAGAATTTTATGTTATGTGAAGTTTATCTCTATTGAAAAGATAGCTATTTTAAAAAATTGTTGATGAAGGATATTTCTTAGTCACTTTAAGAAACAGTGATTACTCTTTAACAACTGAAAGAAGTTAACCAGAACAGGCAGCCCAGTCAATAAACTTAATCATAACCAAATACCTTGGGATCTAGATTCAATGAAACAAACGTAACATATTTTCCCTCTAAAGAGTTGAAATATAACCAAGGCTCCACTTATACCCATTGACTCAGAAATATAGGGAATAAAGGAATAAAACAGAATATGCTGAGGAAGCAATTAACCAAAAACAGAGCGTGAGGAATGCTACATAATAAATAACTGGTTTCTATATAAATAACTTGAAATATCATCTCGCTCCAGCAACAAAGCAAAGTTTAACAGGGCAGCAAACAACAAATACTGGCAAGGCTGGAACTCTTATTCACTACTGGAGAGAATATAAAAATGGTACAACCACTACAGAAGGCAGTCTGGGACTTTCTCAAGAAGATGGAAATAGAAATACCATTAGATCCAGCAATTTCACTACTGGCAACATACCAGAGCCACACAAAGAGATGTATGCACACTCATGCTTATTGAATAATTAGTCACAACAGCAAAGATATGAACGCAACCCGAGTGCCCATAAACAAACAAAAACTATGCGATGTTTACACAATGGAGTAAGATGCAGCACTGAAAAATTATGAAATAGTAAAACATTACACAACAGGACGGAGCCTTGAGGGCATTATGCTACGTGAAATGATCTTAGTCACAAAAGGATAAATACTACCTAACACTGCTGCTATAAAATAGGACAGACATGTAGAGGTTGGGGAGGGAATAAGGAAGACTGGCTAGATAATGAACACTGCATTAAGACAGATGAGGGGAAGAACTGTCTGAAAGAAAAACATGATTATGCATTATATGTATGAGAACAATCTGGAACAAGGGATGCATTGCAAGGTGGCCTAGGGGAGAGGAAAGAGAAGGAGAAAATGTGCAGCAATGAAACATTTTTTAAATAAATTGTTTTCTGCAATAAATAACAGGCATCAAATAGGGCAGGGAACCTCCCTGCTACACAGGAAGATACTCCTTTTAGAAACCAAGCATAAGTGATATATGAACTTTACCTGAACCCTAATTTTTAATAAAGCCATAATGAAGAGGTATTTTTGAGACTGTTTAAGAAAATATGCACTAGAATTAGAAAATATTAATGAATTAGTTAATTTTATTAGATGTGGATTTCAAAGGACTACAGTACAAGAAATAAGAAATCAAATATACTGAAACTTATGTGTTAAGTTGCATAGAAGAAATAAAATACTACTTACTTGATTTCTAAAAATCATAATATACTTGATACCATCAGCTTTAAGGACAGGAAATTCATTCACTATGAAAAGAGTAAAAAATAATGGTTACTGAAGTATTAAGTTAAACTTGTGACAAAATTAGCAGATTTTTAAAAATGGTTTTGGTAACAAAAATACCAAGCAATTGTGTTCTGGTGTGTAATCTTTAATTCTGCACACAACATACCTTGAAATTTCATTACAAATAACAGTAAATTATTACTGATACAAGTGAGGAAAAATAATCTGGACTATGTTCAAATTCCTAAACTCTCGGGAATTAAGAACACATTACTCTGGCTGAGATTTGCTTTATTCTATTCCACTGCCATCAGGCTGATTCTGAACCATTCTGACCCTTACAGGACAAGTTGACGGTCCCATAGTGATTTAAAAGCTGTGATTCTTCTTTTTTTATGTGCCCTAGGCATGAAACAGCTTTGGCCACAAGCCAGGCATCAAGCTAGGATGAACAAAGGACTCAGTCTGCTCTGCCCCTGATTGATATAAGAGCACCACCATCAGTCAGGTGTGCCTCTGCCCATAACCAAGGGTTTAAATGCTCTGATCTTTATGAAAGTAGACTGTCACATTGTTCACCTACAGAGAAAGAGAGTTTAAACTACTGACCTTTCAGATGGCACCCAAATGCTTACTGTGCCACCAGCCTGCTTTTTATATTACATTACTGGTGGAAATATACATGAATTAAATGGACAGATGAAATAACACTGGACAAATGTTATTGATTCTTGAAGTTGACGATGGCATCGTGTAAGTTTATGATAATATTCTGTCATGAAAAGGTTTCATGCAAACATTTAATAGTAATTTAAAAAATTATTGGTCAACACATTCTTTACAGGAAACTATCTTTAATATTTATCAGTTAAATACTATAAAATTTACTTCTATTTTTAAGAATAAATTTTTGCAATGAATAAAAAGAGACAAAAGATTATCTACGCATCAAAATAAAAATAACTGACAGTTTCATTCTACTGGTTTCCCTTTTCTACGTTAGGAGACTTTTTTAAAACAGAAAATAAATTCCACCCAGAGAGGAAATTACTTGAAATTTATTTTAAAAAAGCTTTATTCAATAAAATAAATTATTAATTTTGCCATAATGTGACTAAAACATAGTATATAAGATTTCCAAGTATAGAGCTATAAAAGGCAAAAGAGAAAAAAAAAACACAACGCCCCAATACTCACCATTTGCTGATTTTAAATCAGGGAGAATGTGATTCACAAAGAACTCAGTCAGGTTTACAAGTTCATTTGCTTGTGTAATCCCATGCTGAAAACAAATTGGTTAAAAAACATGAAGTGATAGCACTTCTATCGACAACATTAGAAATATAGGCAATTTAAGTAACCCATATTAAAAATGGAGATGAAAACCTCAAAATAAAAAACTGCTTATATACAAAACAAGACTGTCTTAAAAGAACAGCAAATCAAAATTAATTAAAAAAATGTGAAAAAAAAGAACAGCAAAAATATAAGCTCAGCAGATATATAAGTTAATAATATAAGTTAAGAAGGTTAATAGGGGTAATATTTGTCAATTTTTGATGACTAAAAAAAATTAAGTGCTATCAGAGAGGTATTCAAGAAACAACAATAGCAGATATACAGCACGTAAGGATGAACAGGGACAGGTGAGAATTACACCACTAATCATGTTTCGTTTTGGCAGATGGTATTTCTACATTCACATCAATGATTTGCTGCCAATACATCTGCATATATAGCAGAGCCAACAATAGGCAATGCTATGTAAGCTTCTTAATAACTAAACACTCTAAAGAAATGAGGTGTTTGTTCTGGTATCTTGGAAGACATCAAGGTAAACTGGCTTCACACAGTCCACAAACCTAACTAGGGTCTTAAAGGCTTGTGTGCACCCATCTAAGGCATTGATTGATCCCTCTCCGTTCAGGATAAAGAGTAAAGACAAACAAAGAAGTGGATAAACAATTAGTTAAAAGGACTAACGAACAACACCACAAAAAACCCAACAACACAAAAAACCAAACAAACCACTAAGAAATCATCATCTTGTTGGTCCTAAGAATAGAAAAACTAGATGGTGCCAAGTACCAATACTGACTGCACTGAAAGAGATCATAGTAGGAGATCCTGGATAGAACAGGGGAAAATTTGGAACAAAATTCTGAAGCAAAAAATAAGCTAAGCTTTGTGATCCAACAGAGAATGGTGAAAATCCTAAAACTGTGGTCCTCAGTAACTCTCTGAACCTAGAACAATTCACTCCTATGGTTCAACTTGCTGACCTATAAGGTGACCAGTAACAGAGAGGCAAACTCCCCTTTGAATAACTAACCATCTAACACATAAGGTCAAAAGGGCAGCATCACCCAGAATTCAAGAAGGGGCAGGGCAGAAGAATTAGTGGAAATGAGAACGACAGGGAAGATGTGGAGAAAGTGTAAATTCACTGCAGGTATTATTATATTATAGTCTGGGAGCTCTAGTAACCTTTGTGGTAAAGAGCCGTACTGGCAACCCTAAGGCTCATGGTTTGAATCTAAAAACCCACAGGTACTCCCAATAGCAAAGAGTTGTAAAACAGGACTGACATAGGGGTTGGAGGGAAGACTGAGAAAGATGGGATAAAGATTGCACTGAAATAGATGAGGGAGAAAACTGTTTAAAAGGGGTATGTGATTATTATTGCCATGGCAGGAGTCCAGAACAAAGGCTGCATAATGGAGTGGACTTGGGGGGAGGGATTGTACAACAAAGACTCTTTCTTTTACTTTTCAAAGAGAAGAATGAACTGGAGGGGAGTGATGGGCAGAGAGGTAAGTGTAACAATGAATGAATGGAAATAAAAAATCTCTAAATTTTCATTAAAATGAATAATAATTACAAAAAAAACCCCAAAATGACAAACCCACTGGATGGTTGACTATTTGTTAGTTCTGACTACACAGTACAGAACATATCATGCTGTTTCCACTTCCAGCACAGGCCTCAGAAAACCCTATGTACAACAGTACACACTTAGAATAGACTGCAGATAGGGCACCAGAGGCACAGCCTTCTTACTAGGAATCACAAAGGAACAGGAACAGTTAGTTACAAATAGATACTACTGATTGGGATGTGTAATGTGAGATACATGAATATAGGAAAATTAGAGATCGTTAAGGAAGAAATGGAATGCATAAATACTGACATACTAGACGTTGGCGAAATGAAATGGGTGGCATGGGACATTTTGAATCAGATAATCTGCTTTGCTGGTGAGGAAAAATCGACTTGCGTTCTTAATTGTTCTAAATCCACCTTGAAATACAATGTTATGAGTGACAGAATAATCCATATGCATACAAGGAAGATCTACAATACCACTATCATTCAAATGTATGCACCAACAACCAGGGCCAAAGAGGAGGAAATAGGTAACATCTACCAACTTTTACAGTTGGACATCAATCAAACATGGGAACAAAATGTTTTCATAATAACGGGTAACTGGAATGCAAAAGCTGGGAACAGGAAAGAAGGATCAGTAGTCAAACAGCATGGACTTCATCAACATTATTATAGTTAATTCTATATAACACAAAGTGTGTATGAACTGCTGAGTCATAAGCTAATTAGCTTTACAAACTTTCACTCAAACCCTAACAAAAATAAATCAAGTAAAAACTTTTAAGCACTTAGGGGAAGGGAAGGGAGGAAAACGTGCAACAGTGAATGAATAAATGAATGGAAAACTCGAGCTTTTCTGTAAACTTTTGTTAAAATTACAATACAAAAAGTTTTAAAAACAATTTTAAGTAATTTGTCAATATAAACTAGTTTTTTGAGATTACATAAATTCTAATTAGAAGTAATAAGTAATTACATTCCATTTGGTTATCTGGTAGAACAGACTATATTATCAGATGGGTTCTACTTTTTGACTTGTATGGTTACTGCGAAGTCTGTTTAAGAAACAAACCATATTGAAGAGAATCACCTTCTGTGTTTGGGCTTTGGACGCTAAAGATGTCACGAGGTAAATGGCTGCATCTTTGTGCTTCCAGTTGACAGATGGATTTTTGGCATATTCCTGCAGCATGGAATTGACATAACCAGAGAAGATTCCTGTCACCGGTTCCTCAAAAAACTTGCATAATCCTCGCACAAGATCACAAGCAGCCCTGCGTCTAGTATCAATATCTATAAAATCAAATGGAAATATAACCATAGGAGAAAAAAACTCCACCATCCACTGATTAAGAAAAACTGTCACTGGTAGCCACCATTAACATAAATCAGTATCAAGTGTATTGCCCTCACCCACCAACCAACCAAAACAAGACTCCAATAAGGTCACAAGTAATAGGAGAAACACAAACAAGTGGATACGGGCAAATAAATGATTTAACCTGAGATGTTTAAAAGTTAAAGTAAACATGTCACCACTGAACTCCAATTAGGAAATTGCTCTGATCCAATTCACTCTCTTCCTCATAGTTACTAGGAACTGGCTTACAAAGAGACTAATAGTTAAAACCCAAAATACAAACCAGATCCTTCCAGATCTCTTCTTATATATTCTTCAGAATTATCCTCAAATGCTTCCTCATCAGCAGCTACAAAGAGAGTTGTTATTTCAGATAACTCCTGAAAAGCCACATGACATTGTAGAGCACTTTCCTCCCTGACAAAGCTTTACACTCTGCCGTAATTACCTCGAAACTCCATGTTAGGCACAACAACCTTTTCACAAATGCTCGTCAAAGTGCTCTGGTCTTCAAATAGATTCTTATAATGAGGCCTTTCACAAACTGATGCCAGGAACTGAATTGCATTACTTACCAACTGGAATAAAACATAAAAATTGAGCTTATTAGTAAAGTCAAAGCTGAACAGTTTACTTCTTAGGGAAGAGGGCAGCGAGGGAGAAGGGAATAATGTCTTTAATTATGTATCACCGTCATCATCTTACCAAATCATATTTAACCTCTTGACCTGTAGTAACTAATAAATTCCAGATGGCTGTGACGAAACGAGGAAGGTATCGCTGAAATTCTTCATCATACTTTTGTGCATAGAGTGCTGCATTATCACAGATCTGAGATTTTAAGAGCTCCAATAAGCCTGCTTCCTCTTCATCCTCATTTAAGAAAAAGAGAAAACTCAAACATACAATAACATAAATATGGAAAGCTACAATTCCTGAACTACTCTTTAGATCCAAAATCAAATGTCCTTAATTATATTCACACTACTCTCAATTCACTCAGCCTTTCTAATAAAGAAAAGATGGAAAATTTTCATTTTTAACCAGCAAGAACTCCTTAAAAAAGTCTGAGTTAAGCAGAGACCTTTCTTCCAGACTAGAATAAATAGTATAGTCCTATAAAAACTCAGATAACAAAAAAAAAAAAAACTCAGATAACCTTGAAAACATAAAGATCACATCACATGTGCCTTTTCAATATGACAAGTTTTGTTTCAAAGGCTCTCATTTAAAATGTTACTATTTCACTCCCAATCAAGTAAGAAATCCTCATAATATTTTGGTTATAAAGTATTAACAATCTAAATCAGGGGCCAACAAACTAGGCTGCAGATCAAAGCTGAACTACGGGTTTTCTAAGAAAAGCCATGCTCAACTGTTTATTCATTTAATAGTACAATTCATAGTACTCCCTATGGCTGCTTTCACACTATGACTGAAAAACTGGGTGACTGCAGCAGATTCTATGGTCCTCAAAGACAGGAAAGTTAAAATCAAGCCTTCAAAATTTTATTATTTTTTTATGTGTGTACCATCAAATCAGATCTGACCGATACAGGAGGAGATTGTCCTTCCTTCTCCAGCAAAGCATCTGGTGGATTTGAATTGCGTTACCACTGGGATTTTGCAGTGCCGGTTCTTGCCACTAAGCTACCAGAGTTCCCTAGGACTTAGTAATTCTTCAGAGGATGGAAAAAGCTACTCAGCAACATTTTAAGTACTACTCACATCAGTTTGTAAAAGCTTATTATCCAATGTCAAAAGAGTATGAAAGTTGTTCATCCAAGTTTCCATATTATCTTCAAAAAACTCAGGAAGATCCTAAAATATAAACACGGAGTTAGGACTTAAAAAATTTTAACACCACTCTACAGATACCCACATGCCAAACTTCTTTGTCTGAGCTAGTTTTATCTATTTTGACAAGAAAACTCTGCTCCAGCTAAGTCTGGCTGCAGAATAAAAGCCATTCTGACTTCTGTCTTTCTGGTTTCCTTTTGGGGAGCACTCTCCCTACTGATGTGTAGTCATTTTGCTAGGATGAGTCCAGGTAGTTAGTTCTTGCTATGAGTAATGAAACAGACATATTCTTCCTCTTGCAACTTGGTATAATAAATTTTACCAATACAGTTACTCCTCTATTCAGGAACAAAAAGAATGACTGGAGGTCATTAACTCAATAGCAATTAGATGGGAACACATTTTCTGCTAAAGATTAGCTGTTTCCTTTGAAATGGCACTGATTCTTACCCCTTCTAGAGCCTTGTTCTGTAGCTCTTGTTATTTCTACCACTCCTCTATGCTTTCAATAAAAGGATAAACTAATTAAGGTTGTATCTGTTCCTTGCAACAAAAAGATTCTAATAAAAACACAGCTTCCCTCAATGATAATTCATTGAATAATTAATTACTCAACTACTGAATTATCTAAATAATTCAATGAATAAGGACGGAACTAAAATATGACATTTCTCAGTGTCTTTCATAGAACAGAATATAGGGGCTCTTCTTTAATCTATCAGATATAAGGGAGAGCTACTTTTTTACTATGACCATCCATTTACAACTCTAGAAACTACTAAAACACTTACTTGTGAAATGTAGCTTTAATATATTTTAACTATCTGGTGATCTATACTTCTTTGGGACTGTACAGTGACACATAACTAGATTTTTAAATGTGGATAAAGAATGGAAGAATTAGGGAAAAAAGTTAATTTCATTGACTTAAAAAAAATCAATTTGATTGCACTCCAACCTAGAGGTTCATGGCTCGAATCCACCAGACATTCTGCTAGAGAAGGAGGGGCAATCATCTTCTGTACCAGTTAGATCTGATTTGATGGTACACTCACACAATTTTTTTTCTTTAAAAAAAATTAATTTGAGCACAAAAAAAATCTTTGTCAAACAGAAATCAAAAGCAAGAAATAAAATAAAACTTACCTGAAAGTTTAAACTGTAGAATAATTTGGAAATCAGTATGAGGGAAGAAAACAGAATCTTCAGGGCTGAGACGTCATTTGCATGGGTACTGCAGAGTTCAATAGTGGCCTTGAAAAAAGAAGGGAATTCAGGAACATAATTCCAGAGTATTGCAATCTTAGCCCAATTTTCACGTGACACTGTCTTGTACTAGGTTAACAATAGTTACATTTTCAAATTTTGGGTACTTAAAAACAGTTGTTGCTGTATTTATCCTCGAGTCGGAATCAACTCATAAATAGTTGACTCTCCAGTGGGTTTTCAGAGTAAATCCAAAAGGAGGCCACCAATTACCTTTCTTGTGTGGAGTTGCTGGTAGATTTGAACTACACGTCTTTGAGCTGGCAATGTAACTCCTTTCCACTAAGCCTACTGGCCTAGCCTGTAGGGCACGGCGCTGCTAACACAAAGGCCATACCCATGTCTCTCCAGTGGTTCAAATCCAATACTGGCTGAAGAATGGTGGGCACTCTCCTCCCATTCAATTTACTGTCTACCAAACTTATTGGAGAGTCAGCTCCAAACAGACAACAATGAGTTGAGCAGTATTATTTTTGTGTATTTTATGTTTAAGAAAATGCTTAGCATGTCTGATTAACAGTATTCTGAGCAGTATTTAAAAAAAAAATTTTTAAAAAGCAAATCTTCAAGGAAATATAAAATCTATAGAAATATACAATGGTATAGTCAATTTTCATATATGCAATTTAAAAATGTTAAGTTATTTAAAAGTATCACAAAAATTAATCCATACCTTAAATAAGTTAGTTAAAGGCAAAGCAAAAGCATCCAAAACAAGTTTGATCTCCGTCCATAACTCATTTGACTTAAACTCATGGCGGTACCTAGAAAATTAATGCAAAACAGAACAATTAAAAAAAAATTATTTACTCTCCTTAATCTTTACAGATAAATGCTGTAGGGGAAAAAAATATGGCTACCTGACTTTATAAAATGCAAAGAGGATTTTTTTCAAGGGGAGGGTAAAGGAATGAAACCGCTATTTGCCTTTAAGACCAGCTATCTCACAGGCAACTCTACAAAGTAGCTTTATTTTGATAGACATGGGATAACTGGGAATCAGGATCGAGTAGATGGCAACTGATTTGTCTTACAGGCAATAGGGCAACACAGGTAAACGTAAGAAGAAACAAACATAATGACAAATCGGAGTCTCATGCTTTGTTTTAGGACAATCACATTCAAGTGAACGACAAGAGTGACAGATATATTTACAAAACCTAGTATATTTGAAAGGTATTAGAAGTATGTGTACCTTTTAAATAATGAATGTGCTGTACGAAGGACTCCATTAATAACATGAAAATCTCCACTCTGAAAACGATTTACCATTTCCGTCAACAGGTCAGGCCATTTCTGAGGGAAATCTTCTCTGCCAATAATGCTAATGGCATCACTTAGCTGGGGGAAGAGAAGACTAATTAGATAAAAGGTTATACACCAGCTTGCCCAAAAAGTAGAAATTGGTATTACCTGCTTCTGCATCTGCTCAGGGCTGCTAAGCATCAAATGCACTATGTTGGCTTTAATAGCCACTCGATCAGCTTCGCAAATTTTGTTTGGTTCATCTTCAACCTAAAAGCAAACCATTAATGAGCAAGTAACATAATAAAATCCATTTCCATGTCTACGGAGCTCATAGACAAACTAAGATTATTTTACTTCTTGGTTATATAAAAAAAATATTACTAATTACAAATAAAAAAAGAAAAAAGCAGATAGGCAATTTCCTTCATTTTCCTGTATGAATGGGTCACAAATTCTTTTAGTAATTTGCTGAAAAATAAATTCTTTTCCTAAAAAAATTATATCCCTCCACCTCCAAATACTATTATTTTATATACAAATCACAAAACTTCAGATTCCCCACACCAATTAAGACTCTCAATGGTATATGTAAACAAATCAGAACATGTGGTTAAAATCTTTATGAAAGTGACATTCCTCTTCAAAAGCTTCATTGTACCACTCATCTTAAATCAAATGTCTTTTCTACAAAAACTTATTGACCATTATGGACTAGACTGCATCCAGGGCTACAATTACCCAAAAAGATTTTGGACAAAGTTTTAAACGTTTTTTTAAATTATTTTATTTTTATTATTTTGTGTGTGTGTGTGTGTGTGTACTGTCAAATCAGATCTGACTGGTACAGGAGGAGATTTTTCCTCCTTCTCTAGCAGAGCATCTGGTGGATTCGAACCACATACTTCTAGGATTGCAGTGCATCTTCTTGCCACTAGGCCACCAGAGCTGGCCAAAGTTTTAAAAATTTGGTAGGTTAGCACACCTACAAAAAGAGGGGTGGACTTTTCTAAGACTCATTAACTCATTCTTCCAATATGTGGTAACATGACTATATTAACTTGAGAACAGTTTTTACCTTGTAATTTCACAAAAATCTTTACAGAATGGAAAGGGGAGAAGACATAAGATTCTGAACAGATAAGCTGATTTAACTCTGACATTTTAGAAAAACTGGTTATTTTGGTCAACCGTAGTAATTTCTACTTCATTACTGCAACTGATAAAAAAAAGAAAGCTTGTTATTTTCTTATCTTAAGCCAAGGTTTCTCAACTTCAGCACTACCAACATTTTAGGCCAAATAATTCTTCGCATTGGGGGGCTGTCTTGTGCACTGCAGGATGGTGAGCAGGCCCCGTGGCCTCTTCCCACTAGAGGCCAGTAATACTCTTCCCCCAACTGTCATAACCAAAACTGTCTTTAATGTGAAGGGAGGAATGTCAAAATGTCAAATGGGAGGAAAAGGAAGACAGAGGCAAGCAAACTTAATCTCTGAGAACCAGTGGCCTAAACTAAGGTAGCGAAAAAAGCCTGTGTCTGAATTTATAACTTTATGTTAGTCATTAAATGTGTAGTAAAACAGGAAATCATCTTCAAATCAGAACCTGGTTCCATATTCCATTGTTGTTGAGTACTGTAGAGTCGGAGCAGACCCACAGCTGACCCTCCAGTGGGTTTTCAGACAGTTAATCGCATGGGAGGAGACTGCTCATCCTTCTCCCACGGAGCAGCTGGTGACTGTATAAATCCCATTATAAAAAAAATTGAAATTATTTTGCCTTTTACAAAAATTTCTAAATCTAATGCAAAATTCTTTAATATTTTTCAGTGAACAACAACAAAAAATTAACTTTAATAGATCTCCTCACTAGACAAGGGGCCAAAGTTAAGTCCTAATCACAATACAGCTTAAAATCAAGTCACGCTTTCTCTAATAATCTGAGTCATGAAAATGAAGTAATCTATAGGAATTCCAGTAAAATAACAGGAATTTTGGAAGAGTCCTGTTTTATCTTTAATTACCTCTCAATTTTAAGGAACACTGTTTATGACAATCTTATAAACATACATGGTATTGAATTAGATAGTAATAAAATACCTACAATTCTCCAGTTCCTCTTAATATAATTCTTGAATGTTACTGAGGCACACACTTTGATGACACTGTCTTGAGACTTTTCCAGTAATGTCAAAAGCAACAGTGGGTAATTCTGGTTTCCTTCTACAGATTCAAGAAACTTCTCAGCTGTAAAAGAATTTTCATTTTAAAAAAATCTGTTTTTATAATCAGAATCATCTACTTTATGTATATGTAAACTATGCATATTTCTGCTTGAAGTAGCAAAAAAAAAAAAAATCAAAATATTGAATTTTCCCTTGGAGAGCCCATCACAGGCCTTAATTTTCTTATTTGTTCAATAGGTTGTATATAATATTGTTATGTCCTATTGAGTCACAACTGACTCACAGTTGATCCTACAGTAGATTTCAGAGGCAGTAAGTCACATGGGAGGAGACTGCCCATCTTTCTCCTGAAAGGCAGCTAGTGAATTCAAACCATGTGCCTTTAGTATAACAGTACAACCATCAAAATTCATATATTATTACTCATTACTACATGATATCAAATTTACAGGGTTTCTGTTTTCAAATCACTTTTTTTTATTAGCACATCTGATTCTGACAGACCCAGAAAAATAGTCTAACTGGCTAATCATCCCATCTAAAGAGATTAAGTGATCTTGGAGCAAAAAGCATAAATAGGCAGCCCTCACACATCATTCAGGAATGAAATAAATGTCTCTTAGGTTGGAATTTGTATATAAGTAAACAGTTTGGTCCAGTTACTATCTTCTCAAGTTACTAAAATGTTTGTGTCACTAATTAGTGCTCATTTTTTGTACCTCAAAATTTTAATATAATAGCTTGAATTTTAAATGTAATAGCTTGTGGAACGCAGGTTAGCGTATTTATAACCAGAGAACTGCTGGTACCTCTCCTGTTCTAGAAAGGATTACCATTATTAGTAGTTATAGGGTAATACCTGTTTAATAAAGCTGTGATAACATTACTTCCCAGAAGTAATTATTCTTCCCACTTTAAAGACAAATTGATCGAGCCAAATTAATTTATCCCAAGATCACATTGTTACAAGATGTCAACACTGGTAAAGTTTTAATTATTCCACCTTACCAGCTCTAAGATCTTCCCCAGAACTAAAAATTTCTGAACATGAGTTATGAAGCTACATAAATGTTTTACCCTTCGTCAGTGAGGGGAAAAAAGAGGAACAAATTTAGAAGTCTTGTGCTTGCAAACACAGCCAAAAATGCATAATCAAGAGAAGACTTAATAAATAATACCTTAAAAAAAATTTTTTTTACCCACGTTTTCAACCCATAGTAAACTTGTGGGTAAGTATTTTAATTTTTTACATCAAGCTCTTATAGTGAACACCCAATCTAAGATTCTAAGATTTACTGAAAGATGCTGTTTGTATTTATGTTTCCTTAGAGTTAAGTAGTATCACCTAACATTGTTCCTCATTTTCCATTTTATCTCAAATGTTCACCTGCCATCCTCTAGCCCTGTTTTGTGCCCACCTTTCTTGGAAGATGAGGACTGCTGAAATGAAAACAGTTCTCCATGATGAGGACACATTATTGTTCTGGATGGCTTTGGAGTATTTCTTTCCATGTGATGGTCAGTGTTTTTTTGTACAGGAAAACATACTAAATTCATGATTTAGAGAAAAGTCCAATAGAGACTACCCAGTGTGTTTAAGTTGTAATCCAGACCTTAGAAGTAGATTTTCCCTGGATGTAATCAGTTCCTCCTATAGCTATATTCATTAACTTCAACCTAGTCACCACTATCACATCTTAATAATCAAGTGGTGTCTGTATGCTGTGCTCTGCTACGTATTTCCACCTACATATACTTTTATAAGGATGTTCAGTAAAAAAAAAAAGAAGATATTCTGTCTAGTACAATTCCTGAAAAATGTCATCTTCTTAACTTTTCCTAGAAGCATCAGTTTGTTCTTACACTGTCCTAAAATCATAAAGAACCAAACAGCATCCTCACCTCACAAAGACACAATTATTAAAAATAATTTTTAAATAGATAACACCAAAAAAATATTTCTGAAGAAGTCTAAGGAGATTAAAGCCATTAACTTCCCTTTATCAAGACACTCATTATTTCTTAAGCCATGAGGAAAATCCCTATTATCTCTCAAAAAATCACTTGAGTTTTCCTAGAATAATAAGGTGAGTGTACTAACACATTTATGATCCTGTAATAGATTCTCTCTCTCCACACACACACACACACACACACACACACACACACACACTCTCTCTCTCTCTCTCTCTCACTCTCTCTCTCCTGTATCTTTATGACACTCTTCCAGAATTATTCGGTGAGTACACACATCCAGAAGTTCTGATGAATTAAGAGCATTTCTCATCAAGATAGCTCAACTGGGGTCCCTTGAAGTTGTTTGCTGTGCACTGTGATTTAAAATTTTAGTTGCTACTATTCAAAATGACATTTATAAATAGTTGTACTTTTAAAGTAAAGCAGGACATCTCAGCTTACAAAAGTTTATGAATCCTAAATTAACTGAATCTGACACTATAACCAGGGCATACATTTATACAATATCCACAGTTGGCCTTCCTCTCTTAGTTATCTCCTTGGGCACACAAAGTTGGCTGTTTAAATCCACTAGCTGCTCCAAGAAAACAAGATGGACATTCTCTTTTAGTTATCCTTTATAGTCCAGGAACTCCAACAGAGGGTCACTATGTGTCAGTCTCTACTAGAAAGGCGTGGGATTGGTTTTGGGTTTTTTTTACAAAGCAAGCAGTAGAAATTTTCAGAAAGAGCAAGGGACAAACAAAGTTACTTATACGTTATTGTCCACCACACATAGTTATAGCTGGGAAAAAACCCAACCAAACAAAAAACCCACACAACCAAAACCCAATAAAACTACGCCTAAGGATCAGAAGTTCAAATTTTTTTCTAAATAATTTATTAACAGATTCCATGAAGGTTTCTTACTCCTTAAAAGTGAAACAATATTTATACTCTTTACCTGGACGTCTGATGGTAGGATCAGGATCAAGTGTTTTCTTTAAATATTCTGTTAATGTTTGCAAATTTGCATCACTGAGCTCCATTGTTACACAACCTAAGATTTAAAAATGAGGCTTGGTTAATTGGTCATTGGCACATTGATTTAAATATTTATTTACCTTATCCTACAGACTATCTTTTCTCTGGAAATCATTCCTTTATCATTTTCCAATATTTGCTATAAGCCTGACTCTTGGGAAGAAGAGTCCAAGATAAAAATGGACTTTATGAAACAATGATGATATAATTTTAAGCTAAAGAAGAGCATACTATGATTTTAAAAAGACAAATATAGGAAAAGAAAACTGAAGAACTGTCAGAGAACAAAGAAAATGATCTGATTTAAGTCTGTAAGTTACCAAAGAATTTTAAAATTCTAAAGGAATTTATTTTTAAAAGCTCCATTGCTAAAAAAAAAATAAATTAAAAAAATAAAATTAAAAAAAAAGCTCCATTGCTAAGAATTAACATTTTAAACAGAGGAGTTGCAATGTGGTGTGATTAACACAAGCTCAGAGGCTAAATGAGCATTTCAAGTTTACCCAGAGGGACCTCAGAATAACAGTACTGTAATTAATATAGGCCAGAAAAATCATCCAAAGAAAACACTATGACGTGCAAGTCTACTTTGATACACATGCAGCAAGAGTCGGAATAACCTGAGAGTTCCAGTCTGTGTTTTCAAGTGTGTGTTAGGCAGTGGCTAGGCACAAGGCTGCCTTGATTTTTGGTGTAAACCCTGCATAGGTGGCACAGTAAGTCACTTGATATAATTCTAAATCATGAATAAAAATAAAAACCAAGTCATTTTTGTAGAGTCTATTCTAACTCGCCCTTTAGGAGAGAGCAAAACTACTCTACAGAGTTTAAAAACTTCATGGAAGTAGACCGTCATATCTTTCTCCTTTAGACTAATGACTAGTCAATGACTACTGTCTAAATATTTTACCACCACAAGATCAAGAATTCTTAAACAAACAAAAAGTAATTCTTAAAACAATAAATAAGAACTCCATAAAGAGCTCTTAGATTAAAAAAGACAAGAAAAAAAAACATTTCTACCAGGAATCATGAAGTACTCCCTACAAGCCATATGCTAAGAATTTGTATATGGGGAACAATGCCGGAGTTTCAGAAGATGAAACTAAAAAACTATCATTTAAAAACTATTTTCTTATCAAAACAACTATGAGGTATTATCTCACCCCAGTAACAATAGCAAAATTCAACAGCAGCAAACAACAAATTCTGGTGAGGTTGTCGAGAAACTGGAACCCTTATTTACTGTTGGCAGGAGTGTAAAATGGTGCAATCACAATAGAAGGCAGTATGGCACTTTCCCAAAAAGTTGGAAATAGAAGTACTATTTGACCCAGCAATTCCACAACTGGGAATATCCCCTAATGAAATCAGAACTGCCACCCAAACAAATGTATGCACACTTAAGTTTACTCCTGCGTTGTTCACAATAGCAAAAAGATGGAAGCAATCAAAGTGCCCGTGAACAAACGAATGGATAGAGAAGCTGTGGTATATTCACACAACGGAATACCATGCAGCACAGAAAAACAAGGAACCCACTCTGGAGGATATTATACAGAGTTAAATTATCTCAGTCACAAAAGGACAAATACTGCATAATAACACTGTTGTAAAACAGGATTGGCATGGGGGCTGGGGACAACTAAGAGAAGAGGGAATAATGTACACTGCGTTGAAAAAGATGAAGGAAAGAACTGTTTAAAAGGAGTATGATTAGGTGGCCTAGTGGCAAGAAGCTGCACTACAATCTCAGAGATGAGCGGTTCAAATCCACCAGATGCTCTGCTGGAGAAGAGGGAACAATCACCTCCTGTACCAGTCAGATCTGATTTTGACAGTACACACACAAAAATAATGAAATAAAACAAAACTTTTTTTTTTAAAGGAGTATGATTACTTATAATCTGCACAACATCCAGCATAAGAGCTGTACAGCAAGGGGGGGGGGGCAGGGGCGGGAATGGTGCAACAAAATAACTTTTTTATCCAGAAGAGAAAAGTGAACTAGAGGGGTGAGTAGGGTGGAAAATGTCCAACACCGAATGAATGGAAATCCACCTTTTCTATAAACTTTTGTTAAAATATCTTTAAAAAACCCACACTACTTTCTTACCAACCAAAAATATGTATGTGTTTTATGTGTGGAGCCCTGGTGGTCAAAGTGCTTAGTTGCTAGCCCAAAGGCTGGCAATCTGAACCCATCCAAGTGGGTGGATCCTGGCACTTTGTTCTTACAAAGATTTCAGCCTAGAAAATGGGCCAATTCTACCCTGTCACTGGGGTTGTTAGGAGTTGGAACTGACTCAATGGCACGTCAATGGCAACACAGTATGTATATATGCAGATACTGACATGGCATATGTAAGTAAACCCAGATCAAACCCATAGGTTTCCAAGGCTATATTAATCTTTATAGGTGAGAGACCTTCCATCTTAGAGAAGGTGACAGATTCTAACCACTGCCTTTTCAGATAGCAGTGCAGCATGTAACATGTTATATGTGTAGGAGCTCTGGTTGCTTACTGGTAAGATGCTGTGCTTCAATCTCAAAACACAGTTTGAATCCACCAGCTGCTCTGTAGGAAAAGAATGGGCAATCTCCTGTGTGATTTATTGCCTCTGAAAACTTGCTGGACTAACTGCTGAGTCAGTTCTGACTCCAAATTCACATTTTACATGTACATTAAGGGTATATAATAAATAACAAGTACTTCTTAGACATAACCAAACATGATTAGTGTCCTGAATTAAAAGGATTAGGACTGTCGTCTCATGTGATATCTATCTCACCAACTGACAAGATATAGCTCATAAAGTTGTTATACAATCTAGTGAATAGTGTCTGGGGTCTAAAAAACTTTACAGCAACCATCTAAGATGCAACTGACAGTCTCTAAACATCTGGGGCAAAGGGGAAGGAAACGAAAGAGTCAAAGAACTTGTCCACACAACAGATGGGCTCTGAAAGAATGGGAGAAAAATGTGGAATGAAACCCAAATTCCTCAAAACCACCAACCAATGATCAAAAAACCCCCAGACCTACTGAACTAGTTAAGACTAGAGAATTCCTCAAGATTATCCCCTTGAGATATTCTTTAAATTTTAATTTGAAAACTAGCCCGAGGTCACCTTTTAGTTAAAGACTGATTCACATAATAAAGACTATCACCCAACGAGTATTGTGCTTAAGATTATTTAT